AACCACACCCTCCTGACACTACACACTTTTAATTTGTTAAAAATAGTATATATTTGCTATTCACTTTCTATTTATTACAAATTGACTAGCTTGTTCTCAAAGACATACACTTTACTCAATAGGCTTCTGAAGGGTTTACCGTGTGTTAGGCAATGAAAGTGCAAAGATAAATGAAGTATATTCTTGACATTTAGCAGCTTACAATCAAATCAGGAGAATGAACCATCTCTACTTTGACTCCTCACTAAAGCTGTAATAAAGGAAGCATAAGGTGCCGTGTGGCAAAGGAGAGCAACTAGTGCTTGCAGAAGGGCAATGAACTTCATGAAATGGGGCCATTTGATCTGGGATTGAAACATGAGTAGGAGTTTATCAAGAGAATTCCAGGCACAGGAAGTGTGAAGGTGGGATAAGGAGGCTAATTTTGATATCCACTTGTAGCTTGGGCTAGCCAAAATGAAGAATACAGCAGATACTAGCAGAAGTGGACCATGGGGTTCAGCCCACTTTACAAAGGACTTTATACACCATAAATATTTGTATTATACGATAGCACCTACAAAATATTACTGTACTAACGGTGTCATATGCTTTACATTCTGTGCTTATTTGGTTTTATTTGTTTCTTCTAATTACTTAAATTTCAAAGATATTTTTCTCACAATTGTTCATTCTAAACATGCTAATACTAAATACTGTGTTTATTTATTTATATTTGAGAAAGCCCTTTCCACATGCACCCCTCTGTAGCTCTTCACCGTCTTTCCTCATTGACCTAAGCCTTCCTCCAGACTGTGGAACCTCTCCTATACCAAATTGCCCTCCTGTCTCCAATCCACAGGGCAGTGCCTCCTGTACTACAATGATGTCCTGGAGCCCCTGTACGTGTGCCCAAATGGTACCCACTGTCCCACATGGTTTCAAGATCCTACCTGCTTCACTGGCACCATGGACGCCTTCGTGAAGATCGTGAGGCACGAGGGCACCAGGACCTTCTGGAGAAGCCTCCCCGTCACCCTGGTGATGACTGTGCCAGTTACCACCATCTACTTCACTGCTTACCACCAAATCAAGGCCTTCCTGTGAGGTCGAGCCCTAACCTCTGACCTCTATGCACCCATGGTGGCTGGCACACTGGCCTGCCTGGGACAGCCCCCTGGAGCTCATGAGGACAAAGCTGCAGGCTCAGCACGTGTCATACCGGGAGCCAGGTGACTGTGTTTGAACTGCGGTGGCTCAAGGCGGCTTGTGCTCTCTGTGGCTGGGCTGGGGCCCCACTGCCCTTTCAGATGTGCCCTTCTCAGCCCTGTACTGGTTCAACTATGAGCTCATGAAGAGCTGGCTCAATGGGCTCATGCCAAAGGACCAGAGTTCTGTGGGCATGAGCTTTGTGGCTGCTGGCATCTCAGGGACAGTGGCTGCTGTGCTGACTCTACCCTTTGACTTGGTGAAGACCCAAGGCTAGGTCACACTGGGAGCAATGGAGGCTATGAGAGTGAAGTCCCTGCATGTGGACTCCACCTGGCTGCTGCTGCGGAGGATCCGGGTGAGTCGGGCACCAGGCGATGCTTTGCAGGCTTCTTTCCTTCTGTCATCAAGGCTGCCCCCTCTTGTGCCATCACAATCAGCACCTACGAGTTTGGCTAAAGGTTTTTCCAGAGGCTCAGCCAGGACCAGCTTCTGGGCAGCTGAAAGGGGCAGGGAGGCAAGGACCCCATCTCTCCACGGATGGAGAGAGGGCAGGAGGAGACCTAGCCAAGAGCCTTTTCCTCAGCACTGAGGGAGGGAGCTTGTTTCCCTTCTCTCCCAGTGACAAGCCCCAGGGCAGGGCTGCCCCTCTGGGTGGCCCAGGCTTTCCTCAGATCCTCAGATGCATATTCTTCTTGCTGCTTCTGTCATGGGGATCATCACTTTTCCACTCCCCAAGTTCAAGACCAAACCTTCCAGCTGCCCCCTTCCTGTTTCCCTGTGTTTGCTGTAGCTGGGCCTGTCTCCAGAAGCCAAGAAACCCTCAGCCTGGCATAATCTCCCTGACCCCTGTTAATTCCTTAAGTCTAAAGATGATGAACTTCAAAAAAATAAATAAATAAATCACCATGGAATCACACATGCCTGTAAAGTCACCATGGATCCACACTGCCTTTTAACTTGTTATTCTCCTTTATATGTGCATAAATGAGACACAAACAGGTGCACCTGGAGATCCCTGGGCTTCCATGAAGTGGCTATGGTCTCAGTGAATCTGGGAATTCATTTCAGGAAGACAGTCTTTTCATAACCCAAAACCTAGTGAAATGCACTCACTAAAGATGATCACATTTGGCAATGGACAATAAAATGTAATCCACAAAATTTCACATTTGAACAAAATGATGCCTTTGTATTACTTTCTCACGTATTTTCCTTTCAACGAATCTTAACACACGTCACTATGAGAGGGGACAGATAGCAAAATTGTGACAAATACTCTCCAAAAGTATATACATACTAAAAGTTATCTGCTTGTATATATAGTACATAGCACACATACACACTCACACACAATTTTTATAAATGTGTAAACACATATTTTATGATATGATGGTTAATACATTAAACACTTCAAAGAGCTTTTGATTTTATAATATACTTTTTCATCATCCATTTTCACATTTAATACATATTAAAATTATTATTATTATCATTAATGAGATGATCCAAGACATTGTTGATGTTAAAAAAATCTACTTATGCTGGGCGCAGTGGCTCATGCCTGTAATCCCAGCACTTTGGGAGGCTGAGGCCAGCAGATCCAGAGGTCAAGAGATCGAGACCATCCTGGCCAACATGGTGAAACCCCATCTCTACCAAGAATACAAAAATTAACTGGGCATGGTGGCGTGCGCCTGTAGTCCCAGCTACTCGAGAGGCTGAGGCAGGCAAATTGCTTGAACCCGGGAGGCAGAGATTGCAGTGAGCCGAGATTGCGCCACTGCACTCCAGCCTAGTGCCTGGCGACAGAGCAAGACTCTGTCACACACACAAAAAAAAGTCTACTTAATCTCACAGCTTTACAAAATTATCATTTTAAATGACTTTCTTCTTTATTTGCTGAAAGAATTAGTGGTATCAATTTAAATCTTCTCCTTTGTTTAAAAATGACATTCTGATGTTTCAGAACTAGAAAAAAATTGATTTTTCCAAGAAGCCTATTGTATAAGATAAAGGCACAGGAAGCAATTTTTAATATCTCCTTGAATTTAATACAAGAATGAAGAAAAAGTCTTTTATGTGATGTGGAACATGGTTTAAAATTCTCCCTTATCTCTTATCCTGACATTCTTTCCAAAGCAAAATAGAAAGCTGCCACTTTGGCCATTTTTGCCTCTCCACCACCACGCTCAGGACCAAAATCAAGAGTCACTTTCTTATAGCTGCATCTTCATGAGGACTATACTAAATATATATTGCAAAATCTAGAACAAAACTTGTTTCAACACCATGCACTTGAAAATGTAGAGTAAAGATATATTTCTCATGATTTAGCAATTAAAATGATGTTTAAATCATTTTGAAAAGTAGGTCTTAAAAGTTAACCTTGGTACAGATATTAATTTCAAAGCAAAGCTCCTGGTTTATTTTTTACCCTCTAAAAAAGCACACACTTTTTGGTCATTCAAGTATTTTTTATGATTAGGATCCAGTATATACAACAGGCAAATAGTATTCATCAAGATTTTTCTTTTATGAAATGTCAGATTTTCCTATGGTAATATAGTGTTTGCTTTGGGTTAAACTTTATCTAGTCTTAGAGATATTGGAACATTCAACTAAGCCTCAAGTGAGAGGTGGTTAACATGAGGAATAGATACACTCAGCTGTGTAAAATAAAGCCCTTGACCTAGAATAGCCCAGATTTCTGTGAATAAACAGTGATATAATACTGTCTAATAAGTGCTGTTCCAGAGATACAATAAATTAGGTAAAAATGATCAAAGTGGGGGCTGCACTCCCCCAGCCTTTCCTGGAATAATGCTTTTGAATGAACCAAATGAAAAGATCGAGATTCTGCACTGGTTCCCAGATTATAAAAAGAATCCCCATTGCACAGTGTCTCTGTGTAGTTAGAAAGCACAGAAATCCTAGTTTCTATTACCTTCTGACTTCTGGTTCTAATGGGCCATCTGGTTCACAATTCTTCTGTAAGTAACTTAATGCTTTGTGTAATTAAGAGGGCATATGCTTCTTGTACAAAAATCACTGTTAGATCTCCTTTGCATGGCAGAAACCAACATGGACTCAGTCCTGATACCAGCTTTAATCTGCTGCCAATAAACTTTAAAGTTACTTAATAACGTTCAGAGAAAATGATGATGTACAATCCAGTTACCAAGATAAACATATGTGTTATTCTACATTATTCTGAGACTCTCTACTCAGGGGAACTTAGCACCTTGCCATTCACCATACCCATTTTCTACCAACACAGTTTTATGGAGACCACTTGACCAGATCTCAAGCAAAGCTAAAACTCTCTTTAGAATCTTTTTATTCTTTCTGCATTCTACTTACTTTATAACAACATTCCAGCCCACTGACTTTTACCATCTCAGTGGGAAATAATCTTTTTTTCTATTAACCTAGTCTCTGCAAAGTAAGAACTGCAGGTGTATGGTCAAAGAAATGTGAGGCATCTGTATAATTTTATACATGAAGGGGACAATGTATATCATTATTTTCCATGTTCGAGAATGGACTTTGTTTGATCTTGATTCAAAATAGCTATAGAATTAAGCTCTTTATCTTGAATCCTTTTTCTGCTTTAAGTTGCTGGAAGCATGGTCTAATTTCTTTCCTTTATTCTGTTCAATGCATGTTAGAGACATCAGAGAACACTGATTTTTTACTCAAGCAGTAATTGCCAGAGACTTTGGCTGGAAGTCAGTTCGTGGGCTTCTGCTCATACCAAAATTCACTATAGGCAATGGGAATTTTGAAACTTAAAACTACTGAGTATCAAAAGCAATGTGATGTATGAGTTCATGACTTAACTTTTATCTATTCTTTAGAGGCATGTATTAGATTGCAGTAATAATCATAATTACTCTGTACTTCTCATATCCACGGCTTTGCTATGTAACATTATAATAACCTCCACCCATGATTAGAGAGAACTTCTCTATCTGGACTTGGCAATGTAATTTACTTCTGCCCAATAAAGGAAGCTGAAGGAATAGTGCTCCAGTTCTGAGCCTAGGCTTCAAGAGAACTCACATGTCTGTAATTGAGTTACTATGCTTCTGTCATAGCCAGAAAAGGACATTCCTGGCAGCCTGTTATTCCTGGGAGAGAGAGGAAAGACATGTGCAGGAGAGCCAACCCACGTTTACATGAGAAACTCGGCTAAGATGCACTGTACTCTATAGATGCATGAGAAATACAAGTTTATTGTCCAATGCCACTGAGGTTTAAGGTGACTTGTTTAGCAGCCAAGAGCAATTATTCTGCATTTGGACTGCTCTAAATAGAAATCCAGTTCCAGAGGTGGCTATTCATTTTTTCATAAATCCTTATTGAAATCTACTACAAAAGTTTTGTTAGCATATCATTTGTCAGAAATAACTTTTTATGCATAAAATGAGGGGTGTTCAAAATATGTCACTAGTCCTACTACAAAAATGATTTGGGTCATACCACACAGATAATCTACCCAAGCAGGCTAATGCCTTTGGAATCAGCATCTTCTCCTTTCTTCATTTAGAACTATGTCCTGTCCTGATTCTAGGACTGCCTAGATTACAATAAACTAGTAAATAAAAATGAATAAATGACCACATGATACATTTTGAGTCTGCTTGCTAATAAACATTTGCCTTCTTGGAAAATTGTCCTCAGACTTGATTTCATGATGAAATACAGAGATAGTCATTCATGCTTTGTACTAAATCCTTCTGGCTCTTCAGCTTCCATGGCACGTTGCATTTTTAACCATTTCGTGTTTGTTGTTAAGAAGTTGGGAGAGCCACTTCTTGAGTGGGTTTTTAATTGCTGCTACAAAATCTTCTAGGACTCTTTCCCTTTGTCTTCTGCTGTGGTCATGGGCAATGTTTTATTTAATTGCTGTCTGCTCTGGATTGCAGAGTGAGGACAACAAGGACAAGGTCAGAAATCTCAGCGTCCTCTAAATGGACCTCCAAAGCCTTTATTATTTTAGCCTCTGAGACTTGGGAATTGCTTCTTTCACAGCATACCCAAGGATCGCACACCATTTGGTAAGAAGGCTGTCAGGAAGAGCTGATCTAGCATTCATTTTTCTCTAGTCATCTCCAGCGAATAACAGCAGTGGAATTTGGAAGCTACTGGATGGACAATTTGGCAAAGGTGATGTTGATCTATTTCTATACCAATAACTAAATGTAGCTGTCTCTTCCCAGATGAAAAATACTTACTGAATATTTTTCTAAACTGAGAATCTGCTGATAGGGTGCTAATTCTTTCTCAGTCAATAAGTAGATTGTCTTGAATAAAATGTCTGATTTCTTATGACTGGATTCTGCTCTGAAAGTGGAGAAAATATTTGGTTTAGAAGCTTCATAGTGTTTAAGAATAATGACGGGAAAATTTGGGGGGAAAAGTTAAGATAGTTAAATAAACTTAGGATATTTTTACTGTAATTTTATTTCAGCAAATAGTCTGGGCCAATCCTGGTGATAGTCTTTGCACCCCAGCTGGAAAACTTCCCTAGCTTTCAGGAAGTGGTGAGTCTCAAAAGCTTTTCACCTCAGGGCTGTGGAGACAGGAGACTGGAGGATTTATGGAACATATGCATAATGCATTTCAATATGGTTTTCATGTAAGCGGTCTCATTTAGTTTTTCTGCAATACTCTGCCTTAAGTATTATTCTTCCTATGAAAGATTCTTCATAAGTAATTGAAGCTTAGGTTAGATAAATTGGCCAAGACCACACAAGGAGAAAAAGTTAATAGAACTTTAACCTGCTCTTTATTATCCATGTGTCATGTCTTCCTTCTGCTACAAGCTGCCCTATCTTCCTCCTCACTAGACTCTCCCTTGAGGCACAGGGGATAATATACACTTAGTCTACTTTGGGCATATGTGGACATTCACCCTACCTCATCAAGCACAAGTATGCAAGTTATGCACGGTATGTTTTGCCCTAAAATTATTTCCACCTGAAGATATTTAGTCCTTCTCTGGTACCTCTCATTGGTCTACTTTTCTTTCTTTCTTTAGGTTTGCTTCTTGCTATTTCATATGGTTTGGCTGTTTGTCCCCACCCAAATCTCATGTTGAATTGTAATCCCCAATGTTTATGGAGGAACCTTGTATTAACCAGGGTTCTCTAAAGGGACAGAACTAATAGGGTCAATCAATATATGAAGGACAGTTTTTTATGAGAATTGACTCACACAATCACAAGGTGAAGTCCCACAATAGACTGTCTGTAAGCTGAGGAACCAGGAAGCCAGTCCAATTCCAAAAACCTCAAAAGTAGGGAAGCCAAGTTCCAAAACCTCAAAATTATGGAAACCAAGAGCCCCTGGCAAATCACTCATGTAAGTCTAAGAGTTCAAAAGCTAAGGAAGCTGGAGTCTGATGTTCGAGGGCAGTAAGCATCCAGCACGGGAGAAAGATGGAAGCCAGAAGACTCAGCCAGTGTAGTCCTTCCACATTCCTCTGCCTGCTTTTTCCTAGCCAGGCTGGCAGCTGATTAGATGGTTCCCACCCAAATTGACAGTGGGTCTGCCCAGTTCACTAACTCAAATGTTAATATCTTTTGGCAACATCCTCATGGAGACACCCAGGAACAATACTTTGACCTTCAGTCCAATCAAGATGACACTCAGTATTAACTATCACAGACCTGTGAGAGGTGATTGGCTTATGGGAGGAGATTTTCCCTTGCTGTTCTTATAATAATCAGTGAGTTCTCACAAGATCTGGCTGTTTACAAGCATGTAGCACTTCCCCCTTCACTCTTTCTCCCTTCTTCTGCCATGTGAAGAAGCTACCTGCTTCCCCTTGGCCTCTTCACCACCATTGTAAGTTTCCTGAGGTCTCCCCAACCATGCTTTCTGTACAGCCTATGGAACTGTGAGTCAATTAAACCGATTTTCTTTATAAATTACTCAGTCTCAGGTAGTTCTTTCTAGCAGTGTGAGAATGGAATAATTATACTACCTTTTCCCTTTCTATCTTTTCCCGCTTTCTCTGTACTTTCTCCATTTAGCACAGTTTCTTTAGGGAATTGGTGAGAGGAAAATGAGTTAGAATTAGATCATTGGGTAAGTAAGTGTGAGAAGAAAGCTGAAGCTTTTCAGTTTTTCTTCTCTTCTGACCAAACAAAATGAACTAAGTATAATTGATGGTAGCTTTGTGTTATTTCTAAAGGCCAAGTTATTAAACATCTGATAAATGTACTTTCTTAAAATGCAATTCAAATAGAGCAGAACATATCCCTTATCTCTTTATAAACAGCTCCCAATTATGAAAGAAATGAGCAAAGAAGGTGTTAGTCTAGTCTCACACACTAGAAACTGATAGAATTATACGTATATCCTACCATGAATATTTGTGAAATGTAGACATTTTAAGCCCTGGCTACTTAGGTAACATTTATCACTACATTTACATGAGATTTACATTAAACTTCAATTCCCAACAAATATAGTCAGAAGGTATGTTCATATTCCTTAGCATACCTTTTGCAGAATAAAAAAGTCACAATTTAGTTCACTGATTTAAAAATAGGCCAAGAAGTGGGAAGTTCCAGATTTAGTTTAATCAGGACCTAAATAATGTCAGCAAGGATCAAAGGGTTCTGTTCTGTCTTGTTTTTTCTTTTCTCTGCTTTAATATCTATCTATAGTCCAGCATTTAAGATAGCTACCAGCGTTCTATGCATCATACCCAGGCACGGCAATGTAGTGCAACAAAAGAGACCATTCTTTCAATTGATTAACTTTTTAAGAGTGAGGCAACCTCTCCCAGGAGCACCCTCTACAGAAACCTTATTGACCTGTATTACATTCCATCCTCATGCTTAAACAAAATAGATTGAATCTGATTCATTCTTGAGGTTGGATAGGGCCAGCCTTTCTTATAGATGTGTATGTAAACTACATCAGGTTCTGTAAATAAGAAAGAAGGATAAGCAAACTGTGTACTCAAGCAAAAATGACTACTATAGCATTTGAATTTGACTATATATTACAATTTTTTTTCTGTTGTCATTCTTGCCGAAACTCATGAGTTGGTTTTCCAATAAAGTTGTTTTGTTATTATGTTGGTGAGAAAATAAGATTCCCAGATGAGAACACTGGGTGGAGTTTGCAAACTCTCCTGACGTCTGTGTGCGTTTTCTCCAGGTACTCTGTTTTCCTCCCACAACCCAAAGATATGCACGTTGGATTCACTGGTGTGTGTAAATGGTTTTAGTCTGAGTGAGTGTGTGTATATGATTGCACCCTGCAAGGCAATGGAGTCCCATGAGGGTCAGTTCTCCCTTTGTGCCCTGAGCTGCTGGGATGGGCTCTGGCTCCCTAAGACTTTGAAATTAAATGAGTGGGGTGAAAATTGAAAAAAAAGAATGGGCACGTGACCAGAAGTATACCATAGAAACTTAACTCTCTATCAGTTAGCTATAGTAAATTGGTTTTGGTATACATCGTTTTGCTTAAAGTCACAGTTTCCAAAAACGTGTTGATGATGTTAACTGAGGACTTACTGTATAGATTTAGTATTTGTTTATATGACAGGAAAACAAAGATATGATTTCTATATTGCATGCTTCTTAACCATTTTTTGTTTGTTTTTGTTCTCTCTCATTATCTAAAATATTTTCGACTTTAATTTAGAGACAACACCTTCTTCCATTTTGCAGCTCACACATAGCAATTTTATCGTCATCATACGTTTAACTTCTTCCAGATTGATTAGTCATAGGTATGTATTGCCAAGAACAATGTGTTATATAGAGAAAAATTACTTTAGGCAGGAAGCATATGCTTATGTGTGTGTGTTGTAATGGAGAAGTGAAGACCCAATTTTTGTAGACTAAAGAACAACGTTCAGAACATGTTTAAGTTGCTGCAGGAAACCTTGAAAGGAAAAAAACCTTAGTCAAGAGTGAAAGGCACCATATGTCCTCCAGTACTAGGCACAACAGGGAGTCAGCCTAATAGCTATCTTAATGCACCCTGCTGTGTGCAGGTATTGGAGGACATATGGTATATTTCACTCTGAACTGTGAATTTCCTGAAACAGCTTTAATATTCTTTTAATGTAGTTTGTGTGGACCATTATATGTAAGCAGAGATGTTTAAAGTAAAGGGGAAAACTTTCACTCACAGTAGTCCAAGGATGTTTATATGTCATTAATGTGTGCTTTTAAATATTGAATGTTTATATATTGAAATGTTATCTGCTCGTTCCCTCTCTTTTTTCTCTCCCCTTTTCCCAAAAGTCTATTTTTTTCCTCTCTCCATTTCTCAGTCCTAGTGCCTTCTCTACTTTTCCTATTTTCCTAGTTACCAAAGGGCACTATTGAAGAAAGGAGTGAAAAAATTTCAGGTTGTTTTTAAAGTGACAGTTTGCATATTAAAACTGGTTATGTACATTTTATTTTTTAAATATTGAATAAAATTTGGATCTCAATCTCCAGTTTTGTATTTCAAACATATTAGCTAAAGTAATCAGCTGTGTCCATAATCTCCTGAGGAGTCAGGTTTTTTTTTCCTCACCTCAGGGACATTTTATACTTGTTCTGAATTCAGCACAGCCAGTTCTGATTTGCAACATGTGACTTAGACACTGTTTAATAGGATGCTTAGATTCAAACAAAACATATCCGAATTGGGAGAGTGAGAAAAAAAAAATCAGTATGAGGGTGAGTGGAAAGTAAATTATGATTTAAAAAAATCATGTAAATCAATAGTCAAGAATATGTATGAAAGATATACTTTCAGAAAGACATATTTGATATGAAGTTGATTTGGCATAGATGTGACTGCTTAAAAAGACAGCTCACCTAAAAATCAATGAATATGATTAATAATACCCCAAATAAGACCCAGATGACACTATCTTAGAGAACATTTATTTCTCAAGGCTGTTGGAAAAATAAAATAAAATCTATAGCACTAAAGGATTCAAATAATTGCTGCTTTAATAATGGATCAAAGTTAAAAAAGAAAATGGTAATATGTAATAGACCACAAACACTATGCAATCAGATGACATTTTATTATACTTTCAATAATGATAAATTATTATTGTGTTAAATAATATAACTACTGCTTTATTTTACATATAAAAATGTATCATTTTAACTATCTGAAGAATACACTTCTGTGGCATTAAATATATTCACAGTGTTGTGCAATCATTACCACTATCCATCTAAACAACTGTTGCATAAACTTCAACTGAAACTCAGTACCCAATAAACACTAACTTTCCATTCACCTTTATTTCTAGCCCCTGCTGGAAACCATTCTGCTTTATTTCTCTATGAATTTGACTATGCTAGGAACCT